ATTGATGCTTCCTAGTGTAGATCTATCAAGTTTTCCAAATTGGTGTGGTTGTAACATGTACTGGCGTAATTGAAACATGCACAAAAAGGTGCAAAAAGTACCAAAAATACACGTTTTTACCGTGTGTTTTAAAGATTAATATTTAATTGATATTATTTTAAGTAATTTTTCACTGTAATACATATGTATATCTAAAAGTTTTAAGAGATAAAACACAAATATGTTCACGTTAGAATAAAAATTAGCATTAATTAAAGGGGAAAACGGGTACTAATTTTACCCGTTTTCCCCCGTTTTGTGCCTTTCTGGTCCAAGAAAAATTATATATGTAGATAGAGTCTCAAATTTTGCTAGAACAACTTTAACATCCATGTGAAGTACAACAGGTAGGATACCTCAACTGTAGTACAAGTTGATTTAGAATCAATATGAACATTTGGTTTAAGAATAAGTCGAAGAGAAATAGTGGGCGTATTTCTTTCCATATAAAATAAATACTAAATGTCGTAAATCTGGGAATATATGTATAACAGCAAGAAAAAATTTTTAAAAAGCCAATCAACTTGTGAGTCTCTTAATCCTGCACATTCCGCATGGGAAAAATACCACAAATGACACAACTAACAATAGTCTCTATTTTTTGATATTAAACTTTGTATTTTATGAAACTTTATGTTTTTATTTTTAATTAATATTAAAACACTGATACGTTTTTTTTATGTTTGTATTTTTTTGATTTAGCCATGTAAGCTGGCGGAAAACACACGCGGCAGGGAATGAAAATGAGATTTTGTTTCAGTATCAAATAATATTTCTGAGGGTACTTTTTTGGATCTCAGAGTACTAAAATATATTTTTTTGCTAAAAGTTAGTAATTTCTTAAATACATTTACATTTATACCCCATTTACACATACACGAAATTTAGTACTTATGAGATTTCAAGCCAAATCTTGTTGATTTAAACTAGATTTCCCATACAAAACAAAATCTACTTCTTAAGAAGATTTTTTTTGTGATGCAACTCTGTTTTTCCTAAATAATACTAAAAAAATACGACGCTACACAAGAAAAACAAAACGAACCAAATAGAATTAAAATGTCAACATAATTTTAATAAATTGAAAATCTTGAATGAAAAGTTTATTTAAAATAGAAGGTAATGTTATATTTAAATATCTAATTTTTTATTATAAATAAAATGTTAATAAATATCCTATTTTTCCTTCTTATTTTTCATATCAAACACAATTTGAAGAAATATTCGAAAAAATGAAATCTTCCCAAATGCCAAAAATAGTAAGTGCAAACGGTCTAGATTTTGAAAAAGATTTTAAATAAAATCTACTAGATTTCGTGTATGTGTAAATGGGGTATTAGAAATTTATATATATGTTTATATGATTTACATAATTTGATGAAATTTCTTGTCCAGGAATGGGTACATGGTATCACATAGCAACCATAAAAATATTACCCCGATATTGTACTTTTTAAATATTTATGTTAAATTTAAAGCAGTCATGATACAATTTGTTATAATTTAATAAATATTGTCTTAATGAAATTCAGGTCACATTTGGGTCTACACAAGGATAAATTTAGAAACTTTACGCTAACAATTGAGCTACAAGTGAATCAATAATTTGCTTTAAAGTCTAAATATTTTTGACCAAAAAAAAAAAAATTCGAAATTCTATTTCGAAATGCGCTGCATTAGTAATTTGCTTTACTTTTAAAACTAGATTTCTTTAATTCCGGTAACATTGCAGATAATTCCATTACTCTATAATTTTATTGGCCGTTTTTTCTCGAACTTTTAGTTGATGCATTTTTAATAATTATATGTATTTGAATACAAGAAGATACTTTGAGAGTATCAAATAAGACTCGGGAGTAACACGGTACTTTTAAACATAAATTAGTATCAAAAAAAGTACCATCGTACCAATTTTGCCATCACTGACACGCGGTAATGCAAATTTGTGATTTCATAGATATTAGTTAATTTAGACGATTATTTTATATTATTTAAATCTTGCTGAGTGGCTATCAATTATATTTTTCGTATGTTTTTTTTAACACTTACTGAAATTTGATTTTTTTAGAACGAAATTCATGTTATTCATTGGTTACCTTAACCTAAAACTGAATTCTATTATACGAGTTCTTCAAACCATGAGATGAATCAATTATCAAATATAAATATTTTAGGATGAAATATCACCATGATATACACTGAGCGTCAAAAGTGAGTATATACCCGTGACTAATTTTGTTTTATTATTATAATGCAGAACATAAAAGCGATTGTAGATACAATTTTTAAAAGTAAAATCCTTAAATATTAAATACATTATTATTTATTATATTTAAATATTAAATACATTATTATTTATATTTAAGAACAAAATAATTGCATTTTAATTGGAAAAATTTATTTTTTTCTGATTTAAAGTGAAAAACTCCAAAATTTTCGAGCTAAAAGTGAGTGTACAGGCGCATTAAATTTTGCTATAAATGACGAATATCACCGATTTTTTTAAAGGAATAAAATTTTCTTAGAAATTTTATAAATTTTTTTATCACATTTAATAACGAATAACATAAAATTCACCGACTTCTCTGGGTATTTTTGTGAAATTTTCGCCTATTTTTACAATAACGCCATTTTAGGAGTTTGCTTACCAATTTAGTCAATTGGAATGAGATTTTAAGGTTCTGAGAGTTTTTGAGTTTCTACATGAAGCTTTCTTAACCTGTCACTTGTTTCCAAAACAGTGAAGAGCCCCTAGAGTAATAGTTTAATTACAATTTACAATGGCAATTAAAATAAAATTCTAAGGCAATAAAGAAAATTTTTGAAAATGAAAATTCTCTTTTGACTTCATTATCATGCCAAGAAGATTAAGATTTACACCAATAAAAGTTGCCAAACTTACCAAATAACGATGCAGTTACCACCATTTTTAAATGCGTATTGGAAGATGTTTTAATTCTGTTCCAATTTTTTTTTTTCACTAAAATGACTTGATTTTTTTGATCTAAAAATTCGTTAATCTCATATTCCATATGGTTATTAATCAGTTTCCATTAAATTTTTTCGAAAAAAAAAAAAAATGACAAAGGATCCAACAGAACAAACCGTTCTAAATATCGTCAAGTATCGTAGAGGATTTGGTATGATTTGCAACTGTTTTGTAGGGTCTAGGGGTCCGATTTTTTAAAATTATTGATTGAAAATTGAGTGAGACGTTGGTGTGAAGCGTTTGCAAGAAAATTGTTCATTAATTGTATCAAAATTTTAAATTCCAAGGCATTGGAATATATCAATGGCCGCAAGAGTTCTCAGCTGTTTTGGAAGCAAATATATTATTGAATATTGATGACCTAGTCAGCTCAATGGCTTCAACAACCAACACTTCTTTATAATAACATTAATATAAAACATTCTTTTAACCGCCAGATCATGGAATTAAGAAAATAGGCGAATTCACGGAGAAGTCGGCGAAATTTATGATATTATTTATTCAATGTGATAAATAATGTATAAAAATCTAAAAAATTACATTCCTTGAAAAAAATTGGTGACGTCTGCCATTTATAACAAAATTTGATACGAATGTATACTCACTTCTGTCTCGAAAATTTTGGAGTTTTTCACTTTAAATCAGAAAAATTTAAATGTTTCCAATTAAAATGCAATTGTTTTGCTCTTACATTATTAATTAATATTTAAGGTTTTACTTTTACAAATTTTATCTACAAATCGCTTTTATGTTCTGCATTATAATAATAAAACAAAATAAGTCACGGGTATATACTCATTTCTGACGCTCAGAGTATACCACGAATCTTCAACCATCACATTTAAAAGCGTGGGTAATTTTTTCGATTTTAGTATTTAATTTTGTATTGCTCAGCTCAAATTGAAATTGTTGGTCTGATAAGTCTAAATTTGTATTAAAAAAAAATAAATAAAATGTCGGCAATGAGTGTATTAATGACTGAGCACTGAAAATGGAAATTTTGATATAAAATTAATAATATAATGATATATAAAATGTATTCACTTTAATTTTATATATCTACATACATACATATTATACAGAAAAACTAAGAAAGTATAGTCGGGCTTGGATACCCTACACCAGTTATGAATATTATATGTGACTTATTTTTCATAATAAAGTATTTATCTTCAATATAATCTTGTTTCAGATACACTTAAGCAATTTATGAACGAAAAACTGATTTTGTGAAAGTGGGTTTTGTATGGGGGCTAGGATCAAATATGGACCGATGCCGATAAAATTGTGTGATTAGATTTATATTTATATAACATTTATTTGTGCTGAAATTTATCAAGATACTAGTGTTTGCTTTGTATGGGAGCTAGGGCCAAATGAGGCCCGATCTTTATCAAATTTAGACATCAAGGCTTGTATAAAACTTATTTGTGCTGATTTTTATCGAAATACAGGTATATTTAACATAATTATGAGCTCAAAGACCCTTTTCGGGGGCTTCTGATGTATGGGGGCTAGGTGAAATAATGGGCTGATTTTAACCATTTTCAAAGCGCTTCCCACTAAAGTATAAAAATAATAAGTAAAATAATTTTGTTGTATTGTTATTTTTGTAGTATTGTATATTAACTATTAAAAATAATTTTCCATTTTCAATAAACATTTAACAGTCTTTTCGCTGAAAGAATGTTATATCATGGACACTTTTTCAGTTTATTTTGTCCGATAATGTATATCTGATTTATTTTTTTGGAATGGTTATTTTGTATACATTATGTACGATTTTTCTACCAAGAGGGTAAAAGTTTATATTTAGTGGATCATTAAAAAAATCAAAAAGTACAATATGGCGGAGATTTACATTCTGTAACAAATGCATGTAAATTATCTTAACCGGTAGCACAGAGATTTGTGAAAAAAATCAAATACAAAATCGTCTATATGCACTGTAAAATAAGTATGTTGTACTTACCTAATGTCACCCTTTTCTGTGATTCTATGAACAGTGCCCAATTTAGACAAATGTTCTACCATACGAGGATTCCATCCACCATGACCCTGTTGAAGTTTCATTAGAGCGTCAACTTCTAGACAAACTTTGACACGATCCCCTACGGAAAACATTGGTTTCACAGTTGGAACTACTGGTTGTTGTTCTTCTAGATGACCTGTTATATAACATTTTATAGACAATTAGTTATTATATTTTGAATAAACTTACCTAAAACTGGCATATGATCTTTATAATAATATCCACCGGAAGTTGGTATAACGTATTTCAAGTCAATATTTCCTTTATGTCCTAATCGATAAACGTTAGTAGAACCACTAGTCCAAGAAACATTTGCTACACTTCTGCATGACTCATTATCCCAACCACGAATTTCCATAACACGTCCAGTTTTACCTTTATAATAAAATATACATGTTCATAATTACACTTTTGATGAATTTACTTGATTTTATTTATTGATTTATATATTAATACTACAATACAATATTAATATTGTAGTCTTTAAAGGAAATTTTGTTGAATAAAATTATTACATACATATTTACAAAAATTCTAAAATCTTAGGAATAATATTATTGTTTTAAGTGATTTTATAATATTAAGTATCAAAGAATACAAAGAAATTGGGGCTTGTCAGTTGGTACGTAAAGGAGTTGTCATTCGGTACCTAAATCTAAGTATGTATTGGTAGAATTTTTGTATTAGTATTGGAGCTCCAACCACTTTCACCACACTTTCCAAACATACATACTTGCATAAACTCGTACATAAAAAATTTAGGAAAAATAAATAACATTTAAATTTCTACATTCGCAGATTTTTTAATTTATTTAGCCCACATCTAATCAGTAAACATTTAATAAATATATTTTTCGGACTTAAATCTCTTTTTTTGCAAAAAAATAAGTTTATTTTAAATAATTTTTTCATTTTCAATACCAAAATATACAACTTGTAAATTTTAATTTTAACACACAAAAATTAATTGTCAAAAAAATTAAAAAAATATTTTTTTTAGTTTGTGAAAAATAAAAATATTTCTGATTGTTAAATGCGATAAAATTCTGTAAAAAATTAATAAATAGTTATGTGTTTGTGAAAAAACGTCGTTCAAGTCCTATTATCCCGGTATTTTCGCGAAAAAGTTTTGGAGTATTGTGAGAGAATTGAGTTCTCACAAGTGTGTTGAATTTACACAGAACTCGTCTGTGAAGAGAAGGAAATGTTATTGTTGTAAAACAATGACATAGTCCAACTTCTTATTATTCTTTGTTAAGTATATTGATTTAAGGCTTTTCAAAATTTGTTGTTTTAAATCAACTTTAACAAAATTGACCAAAAATGTACAAAAAACATTTTACTGCTACAACTCAAATTTATTTTATTGAAACAAAAATAACTAAAAAGTACCCCAAATGCAATCCTGTGAACATTTTTAGACTTTTTTTTGTGTTTTTAAAATTTATTTTATTCAATCAGTTACAGACAAAAATATATTACATTCGTCTTTACCTCTTCAAATGGCTTTTAACTTTAATAAAAATGTGGAACGCTAAAAAATTTATTTACCTTAGTAATTAATTTCTTCGGATTTGATGTACTATACATCCTCCTATCAACCTAACCTAATTAGTGCATAAATAAACGCCAGGGTAAAGCGCTGCTGTAAGATATTTACCCAGTCCACCAACGTGCATAATCGTGGGAAAAAAATTGAATCCGAAAATTAAAACAAGGAAATAGGAGAAGCGGACAGAATTAACGGACAGACCGAGGACTTACACTGACTGACGTTCATGACAGGATCTTGGAGCATGTGGGACAGATTCTTATGAACTGTAATGTGGACGATCTTCTAGCGCTGTCGAAAGACACCTTTGGAGAATCCAGTGCCGCTCAGAAGTTTGGGGAGATGGATCTGTTTTCCGACGGGGAGCATGAATTTGGAATGTTAATACCCACTATTCCTTCTCTGGCCATAGCCGGATCACTTTCACATTGAGTTTAAATAGATCTAAGCAGGAACCTTTTAGGGATCCTGGAAAAACAGACTGGTTAAAATTTTTCAACAGGGTTCAGTCAGGAATTTTTTTTACGGCCCCTTGACATGGATAAATTTACCACCTTGTTAAAGGAGAGCTATGAGCTGTCTTGCCCATGAAATTTTAGGGCAGGCATAAGCAATATATGTGGTGGACCAGGGGACTTCGTGATCAGAGGTCGATGGTTAGAAGGTTGTTTAATAGGGCCAAGCAAGACTTCCACAAAATTGGAACAACTATAAAGTGTGATTCATTCAATAAGTACAATGGTAATATCAAGAGGACGAAACAAATCTCATAGAGGCAATGTGAATCTTTTGGCAATGTTAATGAGATGCCTAGGTTCCGTAGAATTCTAGCCAAAGACCCCAATGCCTTAGGTTGCATTCAACGTGAAGACAACTCATGAACGGAGTCTTGCTTATGGAAACTCACTTTCCAGGTTGTGCTGACATAGATGATAGGAACATAGTTCAGGGGGTCCAAGGACCTAGGGATTCTATTTATTTATCTAGTCACATTGATGAAAAATTTACTAGGGACAAAGTGGGCTGAACGGTTAACACCTTTGCTCCGTATAAATCGCCAGGTCTGGACGGAGTTTTTCCGACCATGCTAACATACCTGGCAGAGCGAGGAGTCAAGATAGCTCATAACAGATTACAACCAATTACCTACAAAGGACGAGCTGCAAAAAACACATTATATCAGTCACTTGAATAAATTTAAATAAGAATAAAATGAAAAAGACATTTATAATATTTGATTTTTTAAACACATAACTGTTTTCATTACAAAAATTTATAATATAGAAGGAAAATGTTTTTTTTTTTCACAATAGATTCCATCTTCGCTCTAAGGGGTATATAGTAACGTTTAGTTTTAGGAACATTGATTTCATTACCTCAAATTTAGTATGTGCATATATTTGTTCAAACGGTTTTTCTTTAAATTTTCACCGTGTATTCCTGCACGCCTGGAACGAAAAATAGGCATCTTTTTATTTTGAAATTCCACGCCCACTTATTAAATAACTAATAAAAATAGTACATCTCGGAAACTAGTACGACTGAGGACTCTAGTCGTACTAGTTTCCGATATATACTACTATACTACTGATTAAAATATGGCCGAACTAGCTACAGCGGGTGTGGCACATCCCACGCCTATATTGCTAGCCAATACCAGATAACGTTTATTTGGGAAACTATAACAGCTACAGTTCCCAAATTATGTACGATAATATTTTGTGCAATAATGGGCGGCATTAGACCTCCCATATGAATTAAATATATATACAGAGGGCGACAAAACAATGTAAACTTTTTCAAAATTTTCACAAACGGACTCAAACCCAAAACTTTATTAAAAAGTTTTAATTTTTTTATTTATTTTGTATGTTAATAAAAAAGTTAATAAAAATCTATGAAAATAATTAATAAAATTTTGAAAAATAAAACAAGATTACAGTATTTGGTTTCATGTTAGTGACAAAACAATGGATAAGATGTGGTGAATATCACAACTTAAAAGTGCGCATTTAGGGTCATCGTCGTTTTGAAATCTCCAAACTAATACCCTAGTTTCCACAGCGGTGGAGTAATTCTTCTTTTTTTTAAATGGATCTCTATCTTAAAGGGGATAGCGACGATCAAAAAAATTTACACACACAGTAATTTTTTTGATTATGTTAGTGAAAAAAAAAAAATCACACGCACTGGTTTGATGAAAATCAAAACACTTTTGATTTTCAACAGAAATTGAAGCAGAAGAAGCATACATTGAAGAAGAAGCATAAATTCATTTTTATTTAGTTTTTGCTGAGCCAACATCACATTTTTTTGCTCAAAGTAAATGAAATATGGATGAAAAAAATTCATACTTGAATTTATTTAAATGGACATTACCAAATTTTACATGAAAAATACATAGAATAATATCCAGTTTTTTAATAAAAAAATTTTTTATTAATAAAGAAATAATTTCAAAAAATAAATAATTGTTTTTTACACTTATATTAATAGTGTTAATTTTATGTAGACTCATAACGCATAAAATATTTTATAACCATGCGGATTTTGCCGTCGCAAAATCTAAATAAAAAACAAATTTATGCTTCTTCTTCAATGACTGCTGGTATAAATTACTAACTTGATCAAAATTTTTATGAGTCGCCATGCAGCTTTATACCACAAACAGTGTTGCCAAGTGTAGGGATTTTTCTCTTTTTGTAAGGATTTTTTCAAAATATGTGTGTAGGAAAAAAGGAAAAGATTTCTTACTTTTGTAAAATTGTAAGGATTTTTTCAATCTCATAATTTTTAGCAAATAAATTGATTTTTTCACGAATATATAATATAATATATACAAATTAAATTTCAATTTAGATGAGAAACATATTAACCTCAACTACCTGTATCTGGATTTTTAAAATCCATTGATTTGTTTGAAAGTTATTTAAAAATATCATTAAACATTCAAAGCCATTTTTCTCGAAACAACTTTTTTCGATTATGCTAGTCTTATGGAGCGATATATTATGACTCCATATAGATAGCTAAGTCGATTTGGCTCCTTTGGCCGCCTTACAAATGTCCTCTAAAATTAAATGTGTACACGTCCAAAAAATCTTTGGCAAAGTGTAGACCTTCCACAAATTATTGACCACTACCACCCACCGCCCAATTCATAAACATCATCATGAACAAAAATTAACAAATCGTATGTACATATTTCTCACATTATAAAATTTTATTTCACAAAATGTGAACCAAGCCCACCCAACGCCAACTTTATAAACATTAATATAAAAAAATATTCATAAGTTTGTTTTCTAACAGGTATGTTTTTAAATATCGAACAACGAATGATATATCACGCGATTTTGTAAATACAAACAAAATAATATCTCATTCTTTTAGGAGCGGTGATCTAACCGTTATAAACAGAGAGGTCAAGGGTGAGCGTTTGCTCTCGGTGGCTTCAGTGTACATGCCGTATGAAGCTATAGAGCCGCCTGGTGTAGAGGTGCTGGAGCTGACGGCGTATGCAAAGCGGAAGGGCGCTATCCTGATACTAGGCTGTGATGCAAACGCACATCACAGTCAATGGGGCAGTGCTGACATTAATAAAAGAGGTGAGTTAGTGTTTAATTTAATTACTGCATGGAATCTTATTATCTGTAACAGGTGCCATATGCCAACGTTTAGGAAAAAAGATAGGGAAACAGTCATTGATATTACCCTTACTAACCAAAATGAGGATCTTATCAGGGATTGGAAAGTACATACCGACTATTCGTTCTATGACCATAGCCGGATTTCTTTCACAGTGAATTTGAGTAAATCCAAG